AAAAACATCTCCAAAAAAAAAAAAAAAAAAAGTCAATTAAAGCAGCCATCAATAATAGCTTGAAGTCCTATAAGTTTCATTGGTAATATATTGCAGTGAAATGTTGACTCATTTGAGTGCTGGTAGCAGAATAGTATTTCAGCGTTATTCACTGTTATTCACATATATCTTATATATGATTTTTTTCCTTTTTGCTCATTGGCTTTCCCTATAAAATCATGCTCTGAAGTTAACCTAAAAGTCTAATTTAGATCTCATTAAAGGACAAGACAATAAATTCTTGATTGAAATTGCATCTCACTGCTATTGCTTATTTATAAAACTGAGTTCTGTATCATTAAAATTTGTAGGACCAGCAGTTAGCGTAATGGCTATGTCATTGGACTCCCACGTAGTGTACCACAATTCGCATCCCGGGCCAGGTGGCTTAAAACTCATGCCAGGTGCGTGTGCGTGCGTGCCTAAGATCCTAAGAGGAGAATGGAGGAGAAGGGACTGCGGTGTGGCTATCCCCCCTGGGGGGTGATTTCTCGCTTTCTAACTCTCTGTCTGGCGAGCGCACGCGCCCTATAGCAAAAACCTCTAAAAAAAAAAAAAAAAAAAACTCTTAAAAAAAAATTTGTGGCTGTAAACTTTGACTACAGTGAGATTACTATGATTTGGGAACAGCAGTTAGCATAATGGCTATGTTGCAGGACTGCCATGAAGTTGACTGCTATTCGAGTCCCGGACCTGGTGGCTTAAACTCACGCCAGGTGTGTGTGCATGCGTGCCCAAGATCCCGAGAGAAGAATAGAGGAGAAGGGTCTGCGCTGTGGCCATCCCCCCTGGGGGGTGATTTCTCGTTTTCTGTCTCTCTGTCACTCTCTGTCTTTCTGGCGAGCACATGCACCCTTATAGCAAAAACCTCTCCAAAAAAAAAAAAGAATTACTGTGTTTTAAAATGATAGAGAGGGTCCAGCAGCAGGTGGCGTGGTGGTTAAGGTGCTGGACACTCCCACATGGCTAACTGTGGTTCATGTCCCGGGCTTGGTGGCTTGTTTTCTCACTTTCCTTCTCTGTCTCTCTCTGGTCAAATTAAAATAAGTGAATAAACAAATTAAATTAAATAATTTTTTTTAAAAAGGTGATAAAGAGAGCACTGAGCCTTCATTTCTGAACACCCTGTCGAGTCTAGTTCTGTAGCTTGAGGTCCTATCTTCATGTTTAGGAATGCTGTTTCTCTCCAGCCTTACTACCATATCCCTATTATTTTCCCCCTCAGTATGGAAAAAGCTTTCTTTTTCATCTAAAGGCATTTAAACAAAAGAAATGTGCACCATAAAATATAAGTATTCAGTTACTATCACATTCCCCAGAGACAAGCATAGTGCTGAAGTGTTCTTTCTTCCTTGCCTGCTCAGGAGTTTCGTGTTTGCTTAATTTTATTAATTATTATTATTATTTTATTTACTATAGGGCACGTGCACTGACCAGAGAGAGAAATCAAGGCACTAGTTTGGCCATGTGGTAGTCCAGTGCCTTAACCACCACACCACCTGCTGGCCCAGGAATTTGGTTTTATTAGTTCAACCAGGAATAAAGAAGTTCTGTAAAAGTTTACTGAATTTCAGTGAAGACACGACAATTGGAAGTCTCAAAATGTGCCTGCTTTTTGACTTGGTAGTTCTATTTCTAGGTGTTAATTGAAGGGAAATAATCACAATTATTATATGTGTGTTATGTATAACAGCAAAAACATTAGAAACAACCTCATAATAATAGATGAGTGATTAGTCACATATTTGAATGGTACACAGACATCTTTTTTTTTTTTTTTTAGGTTTTTGCCACAGGGCACATGCACTCACTGGAGAGGCATAGAGAGAAAGAAAGTGAGAAACCATCCCCAGAAGGGATCGTGACACTACAGTTCCTTCTCCTTCATTCTTTTCGGGATTCTAGGCATGCATGCACAAGCACCTATCTTGATTTTGAAGCTGCTGGGTCTACAACCTGAACTGTAGGTTGACCATGTGGGAGTCCAGCACCCTAACCACTGTGCCACCTGCTGACCCCATAGTAATACATTTTTAAAAAGGTATAGGATAATCCCAATTTTGTAAAGGAAACATTGATATATGTACACATGTACAAGTGAATATATCACTCGTAAGTATAAATTTACCATTGATCCTCATCTATGGATTCTTTATTTGCATATTCATCCACTTGCTAAAATCTACTTGTAACTCCCAAATCCAATACTCTTAAGTGCTTTTGAAGTCATTTTTAGACACGTACAGAGCAGTGAAGATTTTGAGTCACCTAAGCACACACACCCAGCTGAGGTTGAACAGTGACTCCCTGCCCTCTTGGTTTAGCTCTTCCCATAAATAAGTGTCCTTCTCCTGGTCTGTTTAGTAGATGTTCTTCACTGTTTTGTGCTCTTTTTTTGGTGATTTTCCTGTTTAAAATGGCCCCAAGTATAGCGCTAAAGCTTCACCTAGTGCTGTAAGTGCAAGTGTGCGATGGGCCATCTGGAGAAGATGTATTAGATAAGTGTTATTCAGGCATGATTGATAGTGCTGATGTCCGTGAGTTCAGAGTTAGGAGTGAACAGTGTGTATTAAATAAGGTGCCTTGGGGCCAGCTGGTTGCATGATGGCTAAGGCAGATGAATCCTACATGGCCAACTTCGTGGTTTGAGTCCTGGACCCAATAGCTTGAAAATCATGCCAGGCATGCATGCATGTATGCCCAAAATCCCCAAAGGAAGGGAAAATGGAGGAGAAGGATTTGCAGCATTACCATGCTTTTTCTCCTCTCTCTCTCTCTTGTCTCTGTCTCTGGCAAGCAGAATCAGCCTCTGGCAAATTTTTAAGTGAGTAAATGAGGTGTCTTACGTAGCAATCATTTGACGAAAATGTTGTGACCAGAGACCCTTGGGAACCTAACCTTATGTTTTCCCTAGGAACAACAGTTCACTATTGGCTAATGCAGCCTTCATGGCAACTTCTGAGAACTTAACTGCAGAAAATAGAAAGAATTGATTGTCCGTGTATCCGTGTACTTAGAAAATAGGCTAGAAGGAAATAGGTCACTGTGGAACTGTGGTTATAAATGATTATTCTATCTTCCTGTTCATTAGTTCCCAATCTTTCTTTCGTTTATTTTTTTAGTTTTTGCTATAGGACAAGACAAAAAAGAGAGCAGTCACCCTTGGGGAGATAGTCATGCCTTAATCCCTTATCCATTTCTCTGTCCTCTCAGGATTTGGGGACTGCACACACATACACCTAGGATTTTTTTTTAATAATTATTTATTTTATTTTATTTATTCATTCTTTTTTTTTTTTCTTTTTTTTTTTTAATTTGACCAAAGAGAGAGAGGGAGTGAGAAAGCAAGCCACCAGGTCCGGGACTTGAACTACAGTCAGCTATGTGGGAATGTCCAATACCTTAATCACCACACTACCTGCTGGTCCCTACACCCATGATGTTCTTCAGGCTGCCAGGTCTGGAACTCGAACCATGCGGTTGTCTACATAGAATCCAGCCTTCTTAACCTTCATGCTACCTGCTAGCCCACCCAAATTTTCTATATCGAATCTTCATTACTTCTCTAATCAGATTATGTGTTTTTAAGTATTTATTTTAACAATTAAAGTAAGACTTAGTCCTTTATTTTTTTTAATTATTTATTTTCTTTTTATTATCATTCTTTAGTTTGACCAGAGAGAGAGGGGAAAAAGTGCAAAAGCAAGCCACCAGGTCTGGGACTTGAACTGTGGTTCGCCATGTGGAACCCCAGCACCTTAACCACCACACCACCTGCAGGCCCCAGACCTAATCCTTTTAAGTAACCATAATTCATCACCCAGATACTGTCGTAACAAAATAACTTGCAAACACGATGTGTTTTTTTTTTTTTTTGGAGAGGTTTTTGCTATAGGGCGTGTGCGCTCGCCAGACAGACAGAGAGAGACAGGGAGATAGAAAGAGAGAAATCACCCCCCAGGGGGGATGGCCACGCCGCAATCCCTTCTCTTCCATTCTCCTCTCGGGATCCTGGGCACGCACGCACACGCGTCTGGCGTGAGTTTAAGCCACTGGGTCCAGGACTCGAACCGCGGTCGACTACGTGGGA